ATCTTCTGTCTGTTTTTTGGCTCTTTTTGTATCTTGATTGGCTGACAACATTGTGTTACTTTATTGGAGGCCTTTAGTGCAGCTTGGCTTCGGGTAAATGGATGGCTATCATTAGTTAGGAAGCTGGGTTTCATCTGGGTGCCTGGTTGGGGTGTGTTTGAGCTGGAGGTATCAGGGGGGATCTGTTTGTGCCCAGGTGTTTGCCTGGCTTGTGGTGTGGAGATTTTTTTGTTTGTGAGTGCAGCTTCCAAATGATTGACAGCCTGGTAGAATCATCTCTTCTGTTCATGCTTTCTGGTCTTTTTTCAATCTCTATGGCTTCTCTGATGATTCTGTGGCTGGGATTTTCTATAGTGGCTAGGGTTTTGGTGCCATTGAAGTTGATTCTATGACCTGTGGCTTCCATGTGTTGGACTAGTGAGGAAGTGTGTTCCAGCTTTTTGACTGCATTTTTGTGTTCATCCAGGCGGGTGCTTATTCTTCTATTGGTCTGTCCAATGTATATATATATATAAAATATATTTAATATATATATTAAAATGCCTTCATTATTTCTATAACATTCCTGTTTCAGTTGAAGATAGATGTAATTTTAAATTTTTTGTTCCAATCCCAAGTGATGGGAATAATTTCAGTGAGAAATTTTACTTGACACAATTTGGAAAAGCCATATTCTGCACATAGTTTATCTGTTTTGCATGCAAATTTTCATGTTTATTATAAGTTTATTCTTTTTTCAGTTTGTCAAGGAACAAGCAATAAGCTAACTCAACTTGCAAGCGTGGATGACCACTATAACAACCTTAAGAGGATGTATGAGAACTGTGAAGTAGTGCTTGGCAACCTGGAAATCACTTATGTGGATTACAATTATAACCTTACCTTTCTAAAGGTTTGTAAAATGAATTAAATTGTTCTAATCTGAATGGGAAATGGAGAGAATGTCTTTACCTACCTTTGAAAAGAGCAATAAGCATCTGGATTAGCAATCAGCTTTATGTTGTGGACATTTTGTTCCAAAACGTTAAAGTCCTATTTTCCACTCCTAACATATCATTCTGTTACATTCCAATATTCTACATGCAGTTTGTCTGCACCCTCATTAAATCTTGAAGCTAACTATGGGAGCTCTAGGGAATACAACATGGGGAAGATATTACAATCAATCAGAAATATACATTTCAAGGAAGCTCTTACTTTAATTGTATGGTTTCCTATCGTTGGTTGTTTTTGTTCAGTCAGTAAGCTGTGTGTGACACTTCATAATCCTACGGTCCATAATATGCCAGGCCTCTCTGTCCTCCACTGTCTCCTGGAATTTGCCCAAATACACATTCATTGCATCAAGGGCACTATCTAATCATCTCATCCTCTACAATCCCCTTCTCCTTTTCCCTTCAATCTTTCCCAACATTAGGATCTTTTCCAATGAGTCCTTCTCATTTGATGGCCAAAGTTTATTTGGTGGCCAAAACATTTGAGGTTCAGCCTCAATATCTGCCCTTCCAAAGAACAGTTGGATTTCATTTAGGATTGACTCATTGATCAATATGAATTTGTAAGAAGTCACTTAGACTTCTTAGAAGACATTTAGAATACAATAATGCAGGCAATTAAGAGCATACCTCAGTGTGTCAACATAATTCTGCTACTTTGCAAACTTCACTGGCTTTTCAGAGGCAATTCATGGAACTAGTCTTGAAACCAATAAAAAGTTGGTCATTTGCAGCGCATCTATTTCCAATTATCTCTGCCTTTTTAATAAATTGGCATTCTTTGGGTCCCATAACTTAATGCCCTTTGGCGGCACCAAGGAGATATGGAATGGAATGCCATTCCCCCTTTCAATTTCATTGCTCCAGATGGACCCAACATGGCTTGCTCTTTTTTAGATGTTCAAGACGAGATTTTCTTCCAGGAATTGGAACAGTATACACTTTGAGTTTATCTGGATTAATACATTTTGGTTATTAAAAAGTAGATCTCTCAAATTTATGTCTTTAATTGCATTTTATTTTTGTAAGATTATTTGTTGTTTTAACTTTATTATATCTTGAGTCCCAGCTATATAAACAGAATAGATAAACAATTTATCTTATATTTCTGGAATTTATCCTTGTAAGCCTTAACGAGTTATTTTGAATTTATAAATGCTATATGGAAGTTACTTAATTTGCATCTTATTTAAAAGAGGTGTTTCTCCTAAATATACTTAGCAAGTATACGGTCAAGAAAAGACTTTGCTTTAGTCTCTGTCCCTATATTTTGCATAACTTTGTCTTCCATACCTTCCAGACTATACAAGAAGTGGCTGGCTATGTGGTTATAGCAATGAATGCAGTGAAAACTATCCCTTTGGAGAATCTCCAGATAATACGAGGAAACACACTTTATGAAAATGCTGCACTAGCAATTTTATTAAATCACAATGGTACAAAGGGACTTAAAGAGCTGCCATTAAGACGGTTGGCAGGTGAGAAATTTAGAAGGAAAAGAATAACAATTTAACAAATGCTTATATTATAAATAAAAAAAATTTGAATTGTTAGTAAGCATAATACTGCAATAAATACTCTTGAAAGAATGGTTTTGATTCAGCATACAACATTTAAGAGTTGCCTTATGACAAAATGGACCACTAAATAAATAAATAAATATGCATTACTTTTTTTTATAAGAAATGGAAGGATCCACAAATCCTTAGTATCAGCACAATCAAATAAGGAACTTTTTCAATAGCTGAATTTGTTTATTGTTATTATCACTAGAATATTTGTGAAAACCCTCAAAGTGATTTTCAGTAGTTTAAATAGCTTCTCAGCCTTGTGGCTAAGTGTAGTAATTTAAATAGTCAATTGAGAAGACAGCGAAGGGACACTAATCACTGGAGAAAGCCACAATAAGTAAATAAAATAATAGAAACATGCCATATTAAAGCCTGATATATATTGTAAGGCTTTATATATATTCCACTGGATTGGTGACAATGAAATGGTATTGCCAAGAACTAGATTTATAATGAAACTTTACTTTTAGAAGTAGCTGGTGTGATTGGAAAGGTTTGTCACAGATATTCACATTTTTTTAAAAACAGTATAGTCAGACCAAAAATTTCAATAATGCTTGGTAGAAGCTTGAAAATCAGGATTGAATGGATATGAAACAGGCATAGTAAGTCAACTTCAGTCATTAACTTACTTGTAACTTCTGATCCAGGAGTCTCTTAAGGCATGCATTCCATTATATAAATACATTCTGCAAGCTACCAGTCTGTGAATTATACAGCCAAGCTATTTATTAAATAGCACTTTGGTTTCTGGAAAACATTCTATGCTCAGAAAGTCAGTAAGTTTAAACAACTGTAAAGAGCATGTAGTTTAATTTGGGTAATCCTCAATTTACAACCACAATTGAGCCTAAAATTTATGTTGTTAAGTGAAACATTTGTTAAGTGAGTTTTGCCCCATTGTATGACCTTTCTTGCCACAGTTGTTAAGTGAATCACTGCAATTGATAAGTTAGTAACTTAGTTGTTAAGTGAACATGGCTTCCCATTGTTTTTGCTTGTTGGAAGGTTGCAAAAGGTGATCACATTATCTTTATGGCTAGTTTCCTTGGAATCTCCTCAAATACTCAGTTCAAGCATTGAGAGAGTCCAGTAAGGTGCCCCAATATGTTATGCTAGCATATGACAAAAACAAAATAAAACAAGGTGTGAGCATCATTGTGTAGTCATGGCGATAAGCAGTAAAAAGTATACATTTTTCAAGCGCAGGGCAACTGTGTGAGACTAGGCTTCCAAATATTTGTAAAAAGGAATGAGGGCTGTTCAATCACATCCTAATATTTATAAGATTCATTCTCTTTTCCCCTCAATACCAGCCTAATCTGGCCAATTTTTAATTAAAATAATATTAAAACTGGAAATTTCAGAAATTAGAAATTAAAATGTTCATTCTTTCATTTGTGGTGGTCATGTAATAAAATTATACCCTTTAGGTATAAAATTTGGAGAGAGATAAATACTAAACAAAATATTCAGTACTCTCTAGCACTAGAGTTATTGCATTTATTTATAGGCCTGAACCAGGGGTGGAATTCTACCAGTTCTGACCAGTTCTATAGAACCTCTTGTTAACTTTCTAAGCAGTTTGGAGAAGCAGTAGTTAGAAGAAATCTCCTTTTGTTTTTTCCACCCTTATTACATTCTTGGCAGTATGCCTAGACTTACTGTCTCTGAAGGAAGGTTTTTTTTCCCTGATACTTTCTAAAAGGGGAAGAGTTTTTTAAGCTTTTTACCCTGCTGTTGGGAGGAAATACTCCCCTGGAAATACTTCTTCTAGGCTAGCTAGAAAGATTGACATTCAAACGTGAGTTTACATATCCTTTCTGAGTTTTGGTCTAAAACTGGTTTTTGGTGAAGTTTAATTCTGTGCTTGGTGACGTTTAATCCTGTGTTTATTGATGGGATAGTTTTCCCTATTCAGCTTTGTTTGGAAGGAAAAAGATTAATATCTGTTCCTGAAAAGAAACTGGTTTGAGAAATCTCTCTAGTTCCTGTGTCTGTTTGTTCTGGTAATAGGTTTAATAAGCAACAGCTACTGTTGTGATTCAATTATTTGTATTGTGTTTGAATTTTTTCCTGTCTCATGGTTTCTTTTTCTATCTGGGAGGGGGGTCTTCCTTCACTGCTTTAGTGGTATCTGGCACTGTCCTTTTGGGGTGTACTTCCAAGAGGCAGGATGCAAGCTTGGCACTGATTTTTTTTACTGCCTTTCTGGGGGGTATGTGACCTTTCCTTAAATCTGGATAATTTCCTTAGGATATCTTGTGAGATGAGTGAGACCATCTGGTATCTTTAAGTGGTGCAAATGGATCTAAGGATTGCTTCTCATGGGTGTGCTCTTTCTGGAGAGCTTAAATGACCTCTCTGCTAAAGGGTTTCACTTTATGAGCAGAATTGGCTGCTGATAGTTATCATTGCATTTTAATTATTTTAATTCCTCAAGGTGCTCTGGCACCTGCCTGATTTGTAACTCCGGCTTGCAAGTCTTTTTAATCTAATTATTGGTATTTAGGGCAGCTTTTTGCAAGCAAAGAAGCTTTTTGTATTTTTGTACAGGTAATCCTTGACTTACAACAGTTCATTTAGTGACCATTCAAAGTTATAATGGCACTGAAAAAAGTGACTTATGACCGTTTTTCACACTTACAATCATTGCAGCATCCTCACTGTCATGAGAGGCCAGGCAAGGAGAAGCGCCCCTTGACGTGAGTGATGTTGAGTTGGCCACGGCCATCCAGTCACATGACCACCAAGCCACACCCACCAACTAAGCCACACCCACAGAACCAGTTGTTAAAAAATTTGAATCCCACCCCTGGCCTGAATTTTAAGCTTAAAAACAGGGAACTCATCTGTCCCAAAGGTGCATTTTCAAAAGGCAAATGGGCTTTGTTTTTCCTTAAGAAAACAAAGAAAAAACAAAGTCCACTTGCCTTTTGAAAAAACACCTTTGGGACAACCATGACCTGGATGACTGAGAATCTCTATAGACAGGAAACTCATCTATTTAATTTTTGTAGGTAAATCATAATTAACCAACATTGTCTACCTGACGTAATAACTGACATTTGAATTAACTGGTACATTGGGAAAAAATACATACAGATATGGTTAAAATAATGAAACATCAGAGAAAGGAACTATAATTCTATCACATTTGAATGATTTTATATTTTATCTCAAATAATCAAAGACACGGTGGCATTTTATATATATGGTAAATTTTTATATGTATAGTAGCTATCTGTTTGCTTACTTTTAGTAATTTTTTGTATTTTCTATATTCTTTATATGTCTCAGATTTGTGTTATTTACTTCAATTCTGTTAACTCATGAATGATACTTCATCAAAATAAGTAGGAATGATTATAATTGTGTAATTTTTTAAATATAAAAATTAAACCAAGTGTATTAATTCTAATTTCTTTTGGCAGAAATTCTAAATGGAGGAGTAAAGTTCAGGAGTAACCCTTACCTCTGCAACATGGAAAATGTTCTGTGGGATGACATTTTTGATAAAAATAATATTCGGAGTTTTGTACAGTTTGACACCAACGAAAAAACAAAGGGGTTAACAGAATCTCACATATCCTGTAAGTGTGCACAGGAGACATACAATTCATGAATTTTACTAAACTAATTCTAAAGAAACAGTGCAGGGTTTACTTCATGTAACTTTATAATAAGAATAGGTGTTTGACCAATAGAAAAATAAACTCTTTTTAAAGAGTTATTTATTTAGTGATTTATTTGCCTTCTGAAATTATATTTAGTATGTACCTTGCAATATTTTTAGGATATGAAAGAACTAATTTACATCTTTATTGTACTGTAAAATAAAATGTATTTGAGTACAGAAATATATACATACGTATTGTTTGGGATTTACAGTAAAATTGTTTATTTTCTTTCATTATATTTGATAGCTAACCTTAACAGTAGGATATTAATTTTCAGCAGTAAAATTGTAAATTAAACTTTAACTTACATGAAGCATAAAGTTGTTATTTAAATCAATTTAAGCTGTTGTCAACCTGTATCCCTGATGGTTTTGTACAGGGCAAGAAAATTGAGGAAGAATGAGCATTTAAAACATATTTTATGTTGTTTATTGGTATAAAGACATACATTTACATAGAAAAGTGACTTCCTGTGGTGCTGCTAGGGCACAGGTGAGATGTGCTCACAGCAGGTAAATTGGGTATGTGTGTGACTGATTCAGCTTCTCTAATTTATAATAAAATTTCAGCATAAGATTATGTATTTTGGAGATGGAAACATTTTAGGGTTCGGCCATTTTTTCACACAGAACTCTGGGCTATCTAATGTACAAATAACTTAATGATTAGCTTTTTTTAGGTAACAATTTTGCAGTACCTAAATAGTTCCATTACATCCCAGTCTTCATTTAGTCTGTGGAAATGTGGAGACAACTCCAGTTATAATACCTTTGCAATCTTCCACAAAAAATTATGGTAGCAGACCAGTGATGGGATTCAATTTTTTTTTACTACTAGTTCTGTGGGTGTGGCTTAGTGGGCGTGGCAGGGGAAGGATACTGTAAAATCTCCAGTCAGAGGTGGTATTTGCCAGTTCTCCAAACTACTCAAAATTTCCGCTAACGGTTCTCCAGAACTGGTCAGAATCTGCTGAATACCACCTCTGTAGCAGACTCTTCTACTCTGTTGGTTTTCTTTTTAAGAAAAATAGTTCTTAAATGTATTGAATACTGTCAATACAATTACAACATGAACTGTATATAAACAGAATTCCTGGATGAATTTCTGTCTAAGACCAGCCTTATTGTGAGAAGGATGTTGCATCAGGTGGTTCTTGAATAATATTTGGCAGCCCTTTAAGTTGTGGGTATTTGTTGTTATATGTTGTAAACAGCTAGTTTCTTAACAATAGAACAAAATTATAAATACTTCCTAAACAGTTTTTGGAATAGTTAATACAGAATTAGCATTAAATTTGGTAACCTTGCCTTTTTAAAATATTTCCCTCCCTCTCTCTCTCCCCCCTCTTCCCCCACTCTCTGGGGGTGGGTGTGTTTGTGAGTGTGTATGCATGCACATATGTATGTTTGTACACATCATACTATTTGTGGCAACGTTTGGCAGCATTTGAGCAGGGATTCAAATTAATGAATAATTAATATTTATTAATTATTATCATTACTATATTAAACACAGAATGGGAGAATTAAACACGTGTATGATTTATTCATGCATTGTTTCTATTTCACCAATCTTTTTTTCAAATCAGAACTGTACATTTTGACAAATTATCAAATTCTACTTTTTTTCTTCTTTTTGTTGGGATAGAGATACAGGTCAAAAATTGACATGAACTTCATATCATGACCTAAAATGTTAGGTATTTTAAAACATACTGTATATAGTCTATTATTTATTTTCTTCTCTGTACTAAATGTTTGCAAAACAATATTTTTCCCATGTATTATCATTTAAAAAACAACAACTATTCCAATTCTTTGTGTTAAATATTGAAACCTTCACAATTCCTTTTTGTGCCGTTAAAATTTTTACTATTGCTACTGGAATTTCTCACCTCTCATTGTTTGAGCTATGCTACTTCTTCTTAAATTATCTTTTGTGATTTAAGAAATGGCAAAGCATAGAAGACTAAGGCTTTTCATGATTCTCACAATAGACTTTTATACTATCATTTGTATGTGGTATTTGTACCACAGTTCTGGCTAAAACATCCTAGGGTGCTGATGCTAGCACTCTCTGGACAGCAACCTTGGCTTTGGTTTATTCCACAGCTGAATATTATGCCACATATGGCTTAAGAGCACCCACTTCCAAATGGTTGATGTTCACTAGACAATGTGTATCATTTGTGGCATATTGCATCCCATTCTTGAATGCCTGGAGAGTACCCCACATTTCAACCCTGAGCTATATATATTTTCCTTTATTGACAATAGTGATTCTTCTACCAAACCACCTGGTTTTGACCTGCTTCGTTCTATTTGGATGAAATTGAACAGGATTGGGTATGATACTGGAAGAAGTTCCTTTGCTCTGTATCAGTAGGGATGGAAAGATTCTCTTATTGGATTGTGGTGTTGATATGCAAACTATTAAGCAAATTGTGCAAGATTGTCCATGAGACGTATTCTCTGGTTCGTTAGAAGATCTGCATGAAGAAATGCTAGAGATAATCACCTGCATAACTGAATTGGACATCTAGTTATGAGGCCACTACCCTAACCCCATAGGAGTTTTATATATAATTACGTAGACTGTGCATATACAGTATGTTTATTTCTCTTCTGCCATGTTCTCTTCATACACTAAATAATAAAAAATAAAACCACAGTTCTCATTTTTGCTCATTAGCAACTTTGCATATCTTCATTGTTTGCTGTTCTGTAGAAATAGTGAATCAGAAAGTTAAAGTTATTTTTATGGAATAATTCATGAAATACAATTGCTAGCTATCCAAAATTGTATTGAGATTACCACTCCCAGAATTCCCAGCAGCATAACACTAAAATGATTTGATTTCTTTATAAAGAAATGTAATTATATCTTAAATTTGGAAGGAAAAATCCTCCCAAAATGTATTTTTTTCCTTGACATAAGGTTTCGTTTATTTTGCTGATACTGATTCCTACCCTTAGGAATTAATATTCAACTTTATTGCAGAGCATATATAAATAATGTTAAATAGTGTTGGTAAGTAAATGATTTTATTTAAAGGGCCCAGTTTTCAACTATTAGTAAATCTGACATCACTGATTATTTGGATGCAAGTGATAACACACATGAAAGCTAAGTATGAAAGATTTGGCAATTGGTAAAATAGTGGGTTTGGGATTCATAATGCCAAGAATGTGATTTCAAAACTGACAACAGTTATTGACTTGCTAAAAAAATTGCAATAAAATTGGAGCTTTCCATAAAAACATGCATGAATACATTTATAATATTAAGAGACATTCTGTATTCCCCCCCACTTAGGTTCTCCTTGTCACCCGAATTGCACAAGAGGGCATTGCTGGGATGCTGGTGAAGAGAATTGCCAAATATGTAAGAACATACATTTATTTTTTCCCCTTCTGTTGAAATAGGATAGGATGGGATGGGATGGGATAGGATAGGATAGGGACTTAATGTGTAAGTAAATTAAGTAGACTTTTTATATCTTCTGTCCTGTTCACTTATAATAATCAGCTGATTATGCCTCATTTTGCAAACTGAAAAATGGTTTAAGATTGGTTTAAGGTTCCTAGTCCTTAGAAAGAAACAGTTCTCAACTTATGATCTCAGTTGAGTCCAAAATGTATGTTGTTAAATTAGACAGTTAAGTGAATTTTGCCCCATTTTACAACATCACAGTGTTAAGTGAATCACTGCAGTTGTTTAGTAAAATAGTTGTTAAATAAATCTGGCTTCCCCATTGACTTTGTTTGTCAAAAACATAGTTAGACAGAAGTCTCCTAATCTAACCTCCTGCTCAAACAGAAGATCCTACATTGCTTCACACAAATGGCTTTTCCTGTCTCTTCTTAAAACCCTCCAGTACTGGAGCACCCACAAATCCTGAAGGCAAGCTGTTTCACTGGTTGATTATTGTCGCTGCCAGAAAATTTCTCCTTAGTACTAGGTTGCTTCTCCTTTCCAACCATTGCTTGCCTTCTATCCTTTGGAAAATAAGTTGATCCTCTCTTCTTTGTGGCAGCCCCTTGGATATTGGAACACTGCTATCATATCACCCTTAGTCCTTCTTTTCACTAAACTAGACATAGCTAATTCCTGCAACTGTTCTTCATAAATTTTAGCCTGCAGCCTCCGAAGCATCTTTGTTGCTCTTCTTTGCACTCTTTCCAGGGTCTCAAAACTTTTTTATATTGTAGTGACCAAAACTGGATGCAGCATTATAAATGTGGTTTTACCAAGGCCTTATTAACACTTAATGTGATCTTGATTCTATCTCTTATAATACAGCTAGAAATGTATTGGCAGTTTTGGTGGCTGCAGCACACTGCTGGTTCATATTTAAGTGATTGTCTATTCAGACTCCCAAGATTCTTTTTGAAGTTACTGCTATTGAACAACGTTTAATTTAATCTGTATCTGTACATTAGGTTTTTGTTGCCCAAGTATAAAACCTGGCTTTTGTCTATATTGAATTTCACTTTATTTGATAGGGTCCAATGTTCTAATCTCTAATCTGGATCCTGAGTCTATCTTCTGTAGAGTTGGCTATTCCCTCCAGCTTGGTGTCCTCTACAATTTGATGAGTTCCCCTTCTATTTCATCATGTAAATAGTTTATGAAGAAATTGAAGAGTACTGGGCAAAAGGTGGCCAAGGTTATGACCCTGAGACACTACAACCATCATAAATATGAGTTAGTTGCCAAGCATTTTAAGTTTTGATCATATGACCATGGGGATTCTTAAATGGTCATAAATTTGAAAAATGCTCATAAATCATTTTTTTCAATGCCATTGTAACATCAAATGATCACTAAATGAACTGTTGCAAGTTGAGGACTACCTATAACTAAACTGTGACTCAATCAAATAATATTTGTGTTTTCTGAAAGGAGTTCAAGGTATTACATTTTTTAAATTTGTAAAATATGATGTAGTTTAACTTGTGGTATTTTTAACTTTCAGTAACTAAGATTGACTGTGCAGCACAGTGCTCAGGTCGATGCAAGGGAAGATTGCCAAGTGACTGCTGTCATACTCAGTGCGCAGCAGGATGTACAGGTCCTAAAGAAAGTGACTGCTTGGTAAGGAAGCTATAGAAACTTGCATAGCATTTTAGCAATATAAAAAAGGAAATAAAAATCAGATTAGTGTACTTAGATTTCTTTTTCAAATATTAACTACAATAAATAGAGAACAAAGCAATAAAAAGTAATATAACAAAAATAATGAAATAAAAATTAAATTTTGTGCTTTAATCTCATTCTTAAAGTATTCCAAGAAATTCAGTAAGGTTGTATTTAAACAGTGTAACTGGCTACCATTTCTTTTAGTTATAATTATCCTAGCTATTATTAGTTAGTCCCATATTATATTTACATTTTTTTATTTGGCCTCCCCACATCTGTCCTGGAGGAGAAATATAGGAAAATCCCATATGAATCCCATTATTGCTTTTGTAAAATAAATGCTACAGAAACACACCCATGTTCTTCTATATTGCCAATTCTACAAGGATATTCATAATCAGTTGATTATTCCTCTTTTACTTAAATTTCTGGAACACTGATAGCTTTTATTTGCAATAAATTTATTTCTCTGAAAGTAGTATTATATATAAACTTTGCCTACAATAATTCTTGTTGTTAACAGGTAATGTTTTATTGATTACTTAATGTCTGTTTACACTAATGCTTGGATGGATGGAATATTGAATTCTCTGAATTTTAATCTTACCTAATTGTTTAAAATCCACTGCTGTCATTTCCCATCATTGTTAAAACAAAAGATGGCTCTTTTTGTATATTATTTGAATTATCTTTTTATAGGCATGTCGCAAGTTTTGGGATGATGCAACTTGCAAGGAGTCTTGTCCATCTTTACAAATATACAATCCCTATACTTATCAGTTGGAAGATAACCCAGAAGGAAAGTACAGTTTTGGAGCAACTTGTGTAACAAACTGTCCACGTAAGTTAAATAAATATTATTATTTATGTTAAATACTATTTAACAAAGCTAGTTAAGTTTCTTTCTACCTTTCATTTGGGATGCTTCATATTAACTCCAAATTTGTACCTCAAGAAGTTATTCTTATATGCTCATCTATCCATTGTAAAATGAAGAATCAGAAGTATAGGCATGCAGTGCTAAACTTGTGAAAAATAAATGAAATACTGGAATGTGTTTTGAAGGAATTTATTTATAAACGTATACATCTATAAGAATTTACTCTTGAGATTTCATTCAGTGGAGAAAAGAATTTGGGGGAAATCTCATAAATTAAGCAAGAAGTTCATAGGTAAGAAATGTGTGTGAATATTCTGGTTGGTCTTTGACAGATGTAATTTTTATAGCTTCCACAACAATTTAATTTTAAGTATTGGAATCTTTCTATATGCTGTTTTTCAGTTAGAAAATGTGAGTATTGACAGAGATTTCAATGTGATGAAAAAGTAGATCCAATATCTCAGGGGCTGCCACAAAGAAGAGGGAGTCAAGCTATTCTCCAAAGCACCTGAGGGCAGGACAAGAAGAAATGGGTAGAAACTAATGAAGGAGAGAAGCAACTTAGAACTAAGGAGAAATTTCCTAACAGTTAGAACAATTAATCAGTGGAACAACTTGCCTTCAGAAGTTGTGAATGCTCCAACACTGGAAGTTTTTAAAAAGATGTTGGATAACCATTTGTCTGAAGTGGTGTAGGGTTTCCTGCCTAGGCAGGAGGTTGGACTAGAAGACCTCCAAAATTACTTCCAACTCTGTTACTCTATTCTAGATTCTCAGTTACCTCTAGAATTAGAACACTTTTGAAAAATTGCAAAACTGATTTCAACATTACATCCATCTAGAATGTTCAGGTTCCAAATTTACCTTATTCAATCTATCTTAATTTATGAATAGGTGATTATCCTGAACTTTGTCTCAGTCAGACCAGATCATGAAATTGCTCGTGATGTATTGTTACTAACACTAATTACTAATTAGTATTACTAATAAGAACATTTAGTGAATTTTGAGCCCTTGCATTTTTTCTGTTTGCTCCTAAACTGACCTCCTTCCAAGAAACCACATTTAATGTGTTTTCAAAAAAAAACTGGTTCAGATTTCTGAAGTTTCATTCTAGAGCAGGGGTCAAACTCAATTTCATGAAATCCACATCAGGATTGTGACTGTGGAGGATTGGGTGGGTGTGGCTGGGGTGGGTGTGGACAGCTCAACATCACTCATGTCAGAGGGGTGCCTATGGTGGTCCAGGTGGGACTTGGGTGATCCATTGTGTCTTCAGCAAAAGAAGATGAGACCAGAGTGAGTGCCAAAGTCTTGTCCACCACAGGAGTCTCACCGTCCCTCTCAGGCCACATGGAAGACCCCCGGATGGTGTTGCAGGCTGCTCGGAGCCCTGGGCAATGGAAGGCAAGTGCCCAGCCTGGCTCTTGAGCTCCCAGGGCACTGGGACCCCACAGCCCAATCCAGCTTGCTTCCCCAAGGGAGCACCCAGCTGCGCTTACCTTCTTCTTGAGGCTGCTGCTGTTGTGCTTGCTCTCCTTGGCCAGCTTGCTCATGGTGTATACGAGAGGGCAAAATGTGTATGCTTCCTTCTCCATGCAAGGGGACCCAGCTTTTGTAACCAAAGCATCCTTAGCGATAAGATGGGAGACCACCAGGAGTAGTCAGGAGGAGGGGACAAGGGGATGGCGAAAGGACAGCAGGGCTGCTGGTGGCCAATGCTAAGGCAAGATTTCCCTCAGACCTTCCCTGTCTCTCATTATAATCTCTTTCTCTCCCATCTTCCTTTCTTTCCTTTTCCCTTTTTCTTTTTCCTTCCATCTTTATTTTCCTTCCTTCCTTCCTTCCTTCCCTTTTTTCCTTCTTTTTCCTTCCTTGCTCTCTTCCCCTCTTTCCTTCTTTTTTCTTTGTCTTTCCTCTTTCCTTTCCTCTTCTTGTTCCTTCTTCTCTCCTTCCTCCCCCTCCTTCCTCCCCTGCTTTTTTTTTTTTTTTGAAGTTGTCAGAGAGGATCCAATCAGAACTGGCAACAGACAGGCAGTGATGGGCATAGGCTTCCCATTTTGACCCCTCCTCCCTGTTGTTGCCCCTGCACCTGATGGGTCTTTGTGTGGCTTTCAGCTCACCTCTCCCAGACCCATGCACGTGTGTGTGTGCGCGCGCGCATGTGCACACGTGCGCGACGTGTGTCTCACCCTTTGCAGCCCTGAATCCTCAATGGCAGGCTACAAATTAAAGAATGCTGGGTGTTTTTTTTGTTTTGTTTTTGAAATGCTGGTTTCTCTTTCTCGCCTATTAGAATAGATCAGACATCCAGCCCTTGCTTATCAATGAAGACCGAGTGGAGCAAATGGCCAGTGTTAAGTTTCTGGGTGTTATTATAAAAGAGAATCTGACCTGGGGTGCTCACATTGCTGCACTGGTCAAAAGGGCCCAGCAGAGATTATACGATCTGAGACTTCTCAGGAAACATCAACTGAACTGCTGGTGACCACTGCACTATAGAGCAGGGATCCCCAACCTTTTCGACGCCGCGGCCCGGTTCCGGCGTCAGCTGGGCGCCGCGGCCCGGTTCCGGCGTCAGCTGGGCGCCGCCATTTTTTTTTACGAAAAATCACTTCCGGTGATGTCTTTCTACCCGGAAAAGCTCACCGGAAGCGCTGGCGCCGCCATCTTTTTTGACGAAAAATTGCTTTTTTTACCAAAAAAAGATGGCGGCGCCCAGCAACCAGCGGCCCGGTAAGGCTTGTTCCGCGGCCCGGTACCGGTCCGCGGCCCGGCGGTTGGGGACCCCTGCTATAGAGAGTATTTTAACTTACTGCACTTGTGTATGGTTTGCCAATTGCACAATGGCAGATAGGACAGTGCTCCAGAGGATTAACATCATTGCCCAGAGGGTCATTGATTGCCCTGTCTCCTCTTTGCAAAAGCTTTATAGCTTCTGCTGCCTATAATAAAAATAATAATAAAATAGTAAAAAACAAAGACAAATAGGCTGAAAAACAGCTTCTATCCCAGAGTAGTAATTATATTGAATTCTACTGTATAGTGCAATATTAATGCAATATCAGGGATTTTCAATTCAAATGTATAGAATGAGAAGGATGTGTATTTGTTTTTTATTTTTATACTTATAATGTACGCTGAAGATGGCATTTAATTTTGCTGTACAAGGTGCCATGGCAATAAAGTAAACTAAACTATTATCATTCAATGGTGTGCTCACATTCCTGTGGACTGCACATTCCCCAACCTCCACCAATCGCATTGTGCCCTGCCCCCCCAGCTCCTGCCCCCAGCCCCATAGAAGGCTACAAGAAGCTGCCATCTCAGCTTCTCTTATCTCTCCAGTTCTTTCCTTCCCCAATGTCACAGGATGGGGGGGGGGGGAGATCCCATGCACACACACATACACACACACAAAAAACCCCAAACACTTGGAAAGGTGAGCTGAGAGCCATGCAGAGGCCCATCAGGCATAGAGGCAACAACAGGGGCAAGGAGTCAAAATGGAAAACCTCTGCCCGGAGCCCCTCCAGCTTAAAAAAAAAAACCTACAGAGCAGTAGCTTCCCTTTTTGTCCACCCTTCTCTCTATTGCCTCCTGGATTGACTCTATGGCTGATGCTGAAAGGGAAATTCTGCTCCCCTTCTCTAGCAATGCCAGAAACCGCATGTCATTGCCGTTCAGCTCCTGCATTCCTCCCACAGCCCCTGCAATGACCTATCACCCATTGTATGCTGGCAGATAGAAGCACTATGGTCCCAAAGGTCCCATTCCATCTCATTCCCATCTCCTTCTTTCCACCATGCTCAGGAAGGGATGAGGGGAGGATGAGAGATTGGCAGCGCTGCCAGTAGCCGTGCTGCCACCAGCATTGGCTTTCCCACATAGGGGCGGAGCGGTCTAGGTGAAAGCGGGCTGTGAGGCCAAGCCAGCAAGCAGGGCATGGAGGCACTGGTGTGGGTGCAATGCTGATCTACAACTTGGTGTGGCCATCTAGGCCAGAATATGGTTAGCCTTAGATCCAACCAGCATGGCCACCCTGGAGCAAGTGAGACACTCCTCCATCACCTGTGCCCCACCCCTGAACAAATGCATAGGAGGTGGCGAGCACGTGGAGGCTGGCGTCCTCAGTGAAAGGGAAGCACTGAGAATGCAGTCAGCCTGCAAGGGGTGCCAGCCCCATATGCACTGGCCAGCTTCTCTGCGTGCCCCCAGGAGGAAGAATGGGGGTGGCACCTCACTGGCTTTAAGGTGGCCCCCCAGACATATGGCTGACCACATTGTGGCCATATGGCTGCCATCAAGTTATAGATCAGCACCTGGCCAACCTGGGCCAGTGCTGAGGCACCAGTGGCTGGTCCTTCACTGTCTCCATGGACTCCATGGGCCAGTTCTAGCTACATTGAGTTTGATATCCCTGTTCTAGAGAAAAGAGGGTTTTGTTTTGTTTTTCACAAATGACCTGGTGTGAAGACTCTAATGAACTTTTAACGTACACATTCAATTCACTGAAATGTTTCAAATGTCTGCTATGGAGAAGCTACTCCTATGAAATATACTCATAGCAATGTTCTTTTGTACATTGGTCCATTCTGAAATTTAAATTTGATCTGCCACTTTTTTCAATATGCTTAAATTGCATACATTTATATTAATTAGTATAGTTGATTTGGAGAGTATGTTTGTATATTTTTTTTTGGTAGGATATGTGTTTTGGTCAGAAATGAAAACTATATCAATCAAGGAAATACCACAAATTCTGTGACAAGTCTCCTTTTTTTCTCTTATGTCTGTCTGTTGTTTTCCTTCTGTCTTCTTAATTTTTTCTAGATAACTATGTAGTAACAGATCATGGCTCATGTGTCCGATCATGTAATGCAGACTCTACAGAAGTGGAGCAGAATGGCATTCGAAAGTGTAAAAAATGTGATGGTCCTTGTAGCAAAGGTATGATGGATAGAGAATGAAATTATGCATCAACTCAAAGGATTATCACTAACAGTAGGCACTCTACATATTAATATGATGCCAGATAAAGAAGCTTTAATCATTTCACTAGATTTATAATGTTAACTGCAGCTGTTTTTTATTTTATTTTATTGATCTAACATTTTTATTGAATTATAAGATAAAATAAGATACAAAATATGAAAGTAATTAGGAAAGTGGGGAGGAAGAGGGGGAAACAGAGTGAGGAAGGATTAGGAAAAACAACTTTTTGTTTTTTCATAATAATACAAACTAGTCATTTCTATAAGGATCTATCAGTAAAATCCAAAATTAAAATTTCATTCTTTTCCACTTCAAGCACAAAGTTTAGAAGCAATCTCCATGTAGAAACAAAAGTACTTATATTCTTTTCTTTAATCAAAATAGCTATTGATTATACTACATATTAACATGCAAATTGATGTTAAGTCCATATCATGGAATCATTGATTTGGATGATCTATTTGGCAGTTAAACCCATCTCTCTGGCCAGTACAATATCAGTTTATTATGTTTTCTTTTTGTAAGGCCATCCAACTCATGCTTAATTTGGACAGAATACAATAAAAAATAAATTTTAAAAAATCTGATAAAAGAAACAGCCATTTTAAAGTAATACAATATATAAGATTCATTATTCAAGGTTACGGAACAGCTAGGTTTTCAAGCACTTTTAAACACGATGGATGGAGGGGTGGGATTCCACCGGTATAACAGCCGGTTCGGTGATTGCATGCTCTACATTTAGAAAAGCTCTAATACTTACCTTCTACAGCAATCCCTGTGAATAAAGCAGCTGAGGCACGGTAAACCGCTCTGCCGTGTGAATCAGCTGTGCACTAAACAAAGGAAATAAAGCACAGGAAAGAGCAGAGGATGGTGGCAGGCCCACATCAGTGGTGGTATTCAACCAGTTCGCACCGGATCAGGCAAACTGGTAGCAAGAATTTGGCGTGGGTCGCCAAACTGGTAGTAAGTTCTGGCTGGCCACACCCCCGATCCAGTCACCCTCCCACTCAATGCTCGCTTACCCACCGCCTGACATTCGCCTAAGGTATTTGTTTTTTTTCCCTCCTGACAATCAGCTGTGCATAGATCAGCTGTGCCGGGATTCCCCTTGCAGGCCCAGGAAGGCAAAAAATTGAGGGAGGAGCTCAGCCCCCCCTCCATTTTTTGCCTTCCAGAACCCCAGAGGAGCCTTAGGGGAGCAAAAACGCGCCCCCCCCAGAGGCTCCTTTGAGGCTAGGAAGCTCCCAAAAGGGAGCTTGGAGGAGTGCTGCGCGCCCCTACCAGGCTCTGTTTTTTTCCTTTCTGAGCCTCAACAGGGCTTTAGGGGAGCAAACCCCCCCCCCAGAGGTTCCGCTGAGGCTAAGAAGCTCCCCAAAATGGGTGGGGGCGGCAAAAAAGCAAAAAAAGCCACACCCATCCAATCACATGGCCATGCCCACCAAGCCACGCCCACAGAACTAGTAGTAAAAAAATTTGAATCCCACCACTGGCCCACATGCTCATTGCAGCAAACTGGTTCACTATCAGCTGATCTTTGGAGCAAGGGGTTCGCCTGAATCGGTCCGAACTGGTAGAATCCCACCCCTGCATGGATGGCAGCTCAATAGATCTCAGAAAAATGGTGTTCCAGATGGCAAATGTGTCAGCGTTCCAGAAAACCTTCTCTCCAACAAATAACTCCGAGACAGACATTCTCTCTAAAGTTCTGTTTTATTTGAATAGTAAACTATCACATCGGGGGAATCCTGAATCCTGAATAGTAAACTGTCACATCAGGGGAATCCTGAATCTGAAAGTTCCAGGGTTCTTTGCAATAAGTAAAAACTAAAAATCCACCCCCTGCACCCACCATTGCATCACATGCCCCAATCACCATCTGCCCCAACTTAAGACGTCCCCTCACCCAGGTATAGAATAACATGACCTTGACTTAGAAAAAGAATGCTATTATGTCTAACCACAAACACTTCAAGAAATTCCCCCTCCCCTTTTCCCAGGCTCAAGAATGTGGCAGTGGGGAAGCGTCTGGTGTCAATATGGCTTCCAAAGCTGACAAAGTGTTGCAACAGAGAATCTAATGTCAGGGATTCCTGAGAGATGACTATTAACTGCCCATTTGAAGATAGGAAAGGAGAGCCTTCCCACAACTGATTTCACAATTAAATTGTTCCTAAGGTAGTCCTTGTTGAACAATTAGTCATTAAGTGACTATTCAAACTTATGATAGTGCTTAATGAAGAGTAGTTGTGTCTGTCACAATATCTCCGGGGGTCACATGATTGCAACTCAGATGCTTGGCAGTAATAACATTGCAGTGTCCTACAGGTGGCTACCATTTGTGACCTTCATTGCTAGTTTCCAACAAATTCAGGAAAGATACAGGTGGAAATGATGATCACATGACTAAGGGATGTGACCATGTGGAATTTGCTTAACAGCAGCAGCTGGGACTGCTGGAATTGCTGTTCTCAATCATGATGTCATGTTATTGCACTGAGTTGCAATAGTAATTCCAGCAGTCTCCACTGCTGTCATTAGCCAAATCCCACATGGTCACATCCCTCAATCATGCCTTATGATCAATTGCTTTGTGCTGAAGTTGCTGATCTAAATTACTGTCAATGAGGACTCTCTGTATTTCTAATATTTCATTGTAATTTGTGCTCCTATAACTTCAACCATTTATTGATACTTGGTATTCTGACTTACATCTTTTAAGTTTAATGTACCAGTTAGCATACTATCCTTATTATTCAACATATGAATTGCCATCTTGTTCTCATATTATGTCTTTAATTTTTACTCTGATTGCTCTGATTCTTCCTGTATTCATTTCATTGCAGCAATTTAGGTTGTGCTGATGTTTGAATTATTCTAATTTGGCTATTTTGAAATGATATCATTACACTATCTTTTAAGAAAAAAGCAGGATGAAATATTTCATTGTAAAAGACTTAATAAATGTGTCCTCTGACCACAATTCACAATGAGCAGATCCCATATGTATGAAAAATACCAAGTGCTAGACTACAATTAAAATAAGAAAAATTGATCTTTTTTCCTTTTCTTTCTTAAGTCTATAGGCTAGCCACCTTCCTGGCTTGTTCGTGTGTTCAAAATAATTCTGTTTTATCATTTTCATGTCCTGTAACCATTCATCTTGTGCTAACATATTCAATCTGTGTCTAATCATTATCCTTTCCGTATTTGCTGTCTTATTATGTGGTGTTTTTTCTAATGTTTTTTTCTTTCTCCTTAAGGGTATCTAGTAGTTTAGATTATTCTCCTTTTATTTCCTTGTATCTACATGTATTATATGAAATTGCTAAGCCCCTGATGTATGCTTTAGTCATGTCCCATAGGTTTGGAATTGATGTTTTTTATTTTCTTTCAGAAAGAACTCCAATTCTTTTTCCATCATCTTGACACATTCTTTTTTTTTTTTTAGGATCTCCTTATTTAGCATCCATCTTCTGTTCTTTTCAAATTATTTTAATAGGATTATGGTCGGCCCATGTGTTAGTTTCAATTTCTATTTCTTTTATATTATGCTCAATTTCCACATTTGTCCATAACATATCCAATCTTGAAAGCCACAGGACATAGCATCAACTTCAATGGCACAAAAACCCTAGTCACTATAGAAAACCCCAGCTACAGAATTATCAGAGAAGCCATAGAGATTTGAAAAAGACCTGAAAGCATGAATAGAAGAGATGACTCCAGACTGTCAATTATCTGGAAGCCTGACTCACAAACAAAAAAATCTCCATACCACAAGCCAAGCAAACACCTGGGCACAAACAGACCCCCACTGATACCTCCAGCTCAAACACACCCCAACCAGGCACCCAGATGAAACCTAGCTTCCTAATAAATGATAGCTGTCTGTTTACTCGAAGCCAAGATGCACTAAAAGCCTCCAATACAGGAAACACAATGTTGCCAGCCAATCAAGACAAAAAATGCTACAAAACAGACACAAGATATTATAAACACCAATCAAGCAGAACACAGCAAACTCCAAGACCAATAAACACAGACCAAGAGTCCCAACCAATCAGGATGAAGAAAAAAACCATTCTAACACAGCAGTAGGCTAGCACCAAATTTAAAACAGAAACGGCTGTGAAAGTCTGACTCACAGACGAACACAATACACAAGCCTGATGATGGCAGATGAGATTCTGCCGAAACATCGCTACAACTTTAAAAGCACAACTATAATGACGTGGGAAAATACCCAAACAGAGCTGAATACCATACATACATACATACATACATACATACATACATACATACATACATACATACATACACACACACACACACACACACACACACACACACTTTATGGGGATTTATTAGTTGTAAAGATTTGATTGACGAATTAAAACATAATAAGGAAGATATCCTGTGATAAAATTATTTTCTTACTAATGCTGTTTATTCCTGTTTTTTCTTGGTTTAAATCCAATTAATTTTGTGTCTTGATGCTGCTTTGTATTTAGGCATGATTCTAATCCTTAATCCAACATGAAATACCTTGAAAGTATTTCTAACATTGTATGTTTCCTTTTTCTCAGTGTGCAGTGGAATTGGAATAGGTGAACTGAAAGGTGTTCTTGCAGTAAATGAATCCAATATAGATTATTTCAAGAACTGTACCACAATCAATGGTGATCTCACATTTCTGCATGCATCCTTTTTTGGGTAAGTTGCTGATTGGTCAAATGTGGAACATAAAATGTACTAAAAATCTGTTATATCATTAATCAAGTATTCAATTATTCTTTTATAGTGATGAATATACAAAAACACCCCCTTTGGGTATAGGAAAATTGGATATTTTTAAAACTGTTAAAGAAATCACAGGTTAGTAAGATGTTTTACATTTATTTATATGAATATTGTAGATGGTCCTTTAAATGCTCAGTTATTTCTATTCATTTATTTAAGGCTGCCCAACTACTGCACATCTTAAGTAGTTTAAAATGTAATTTAAAAAAATTAAAAGGACACAGCATGACCATGAAAACAGAACAAAAAACCCCAAGGAGTACAATCCCCATCCTAGTTTTAGGTCAGACGTTTAACCATTTTTGGAAAGGTAAAAGGATGGGAGAAGCATGAATTTTCAGGTGCAGTATAGTAAATCATTCCACAGGCAAAAAGTCATCTCTGAGAAGGCACACTTCCTCAGTCCTACGAAGACACTGCTTAATCAACAGGTGTTAATTAACAGGACCCACTATAGCTGATCACACTAGTCAGACAGAATCATATGGAGAAGACACAAATAATCTGTACTATGGATCAGGGGTCACCAACCTTTTGGACCTCAGGGACCACCAAACTCATAATTTTAAATCCCAGGGACCGCTAACCGGTTCTGTGGGTGTGGCTTATTTTGTGGGTGTGGCTTGGTGGTCATGTGACTGGCTGGCAATGGCTTGTATGCAAATATTATAAATATTTATATAAATATTGAATTTTTTATTTTAAAAAAGATCAATTTTTACCCAAAATCAGGCAAAGCAGGATTGAGTTGATCACAGAATCACAGATTCATTCAGAGATCTATCTGTCTGCCATTGGCTAGCTCAGTCTGTCACATAAAATTTGCTTGTCGTGAGTCTGCACTGAATAGAACATTCAATCCTAAGGGAGGTTCAGCTGTGCTTAAAAGCAGAGCCGAAGTTCTAAAGACTAGCTCTCTGGAATAGTACAATTTCATTAGTCAAATATTCATGTATGTTCATGGTGAGACTTTCTAAATTTAACCATTCTACTCAACTGTGCAAATCATTTAGTTAATACTGTACTGAGATACATTAACATTTCTGTATTTCGGTGTTTTTTTCATTTAAAATGTGCATTTGAAACATCTGTTTATAGTTTCATCCATTTCATTTCATCCATTTCATTTCATTTCATTTCATCCATTTCAGGGTCTGGCCAGTATACTTCTATAGCCAAGTTTTTTGGGGCAATAGTCTTTTAACTTGTTCCTCATAGACTGATGGACAAGAAATATACATGTTTCTTGATAGCTTAGGAAAATTGAAGAAATAAAGGAAACATTTGTCCTTTGTCCATTTAAGATTCTTTCCAAAATATTAGGCTCTTATAATCATCCATTTTATACATTTCTGAAAAGGTCTTATCTAGTAAAAAAAAAAAAATAAGGATCAGTGTATTCTACAAAATGATCAAATTTCCATGGTGAGTTGCTAAGGAGAACTGGCTTTTCTGTAGTGGCTCGGTCAGCTAAGTCCACAGCCCAGTCTTCACACTATTTAACTGACTTGGTTGCCTGCATGTAAACTGTTTACAAAGTAAGGTTTAAAATAACTCTGTGCTGAAGCTTCCTGAAATGTCATGATTCATTTTGATATTCACATAAAAATTGAAGAGAAAAGACATTCTTCTTTGTCAGAAATACTTTGTAAATGTTGTTTGTTTGTTTTAGGGTTTCTATTGATCCAGGTTTGGCCTGAAAATGTCACTGATTTGAGTAGCTTTGAAAATCTGGAAGTAATACGAGGTAGAACAAAACAATTGTAAGTACAACAGCATGCCAAGAAACTTGTACTCATGTAGAGTTGTGATTTTTTTAAAAGACCAGATCATTATTCTGCCATAAATCAGTTGCTAGTTTGCAGTTGAACTGAAAGTAAAGTAGAATGCATCAGCACTACTGCCACTATTTCTTCTTTTTTCTAAGATGGTTTCAAATGTTTAATTCATTCATTCTTCTGATTTATCAAAGTTACTGTTTAGAAAAGTGTCTCTCAGATTCAATAATCCACAGGACTCAAGGATCCCATTTCATTTTTCTCCTATTCCCATTTTAAGTTGTTTATTCTTAAAAGGAGATAGTGAGAAAAATGTTACCTACAATATGGTACACACACAAACTTTTAAAACGTTCTTCCTTTTTTCGGGGCTCAAACCTGCATTTGAAATTGCTTAAATTAATTGCAAGGTGTGGGAGGAGTTGATACACATTATGATCATTCTGGGAATAGAATGTTAAAGCAATTTCCAAACAAAATAATCTATATTGGGTTCTGTATGCTAATTCTGTTGTTTTACTGAGTGAAAATACCTTCAGAAATATTTCCACTTAAGTACATTTTAAATAAATAGGTAAATTGAAAAATTTGGGTTGTTTCTCCTAACTCATAGTAGACTGGATTCCAGAAATTTTTACTATGTGACTAGCTATTTTTGCTCTATCTGGAGTTTTATGTGAAAGTTGGAGAACACCAGTGAAATAAACTGCTTTCTGATCAGATTTGAAAGTATATAATGTAAGATTGATTTCTGGATTGTCATTACAGACTGGGAAACAAGAAGGAATGGCTTAGAAGTCTAAAAGTACCAGGAGATCCAAGTTCTTTGCCAATTCTCACCTCGGCTTTTACTATTACTTTTAGAATAGAATAGAATAGAATAGAATAGAATAGAATAGAATAGAATAGAATAGAATAGAATAGAATTCTTTATTGGCCAAGTGTGATTGGACAAACAAAGAATTTGTCTTGGTGCAAATGCTTTCAGTGTACATAAAAGAAAAGATACATAAGATACAACACTTAATAATAGTCATAGGTACAATAAGCAATCAAATCATACTAGGAAACAGTCAATATAAATTGTTAGGATACAAGCAACAACATTACAGCCATACAGTCATAAGTGGGTGGGAATGGGTGATAAGGAGTGATGAGAAGGTTATTAGTAATAGTAGTGCAGACTTTATAAATAGTTGGACAGTGTTGAGGGAATTATTTGTGTAGCAGAGTGATGGCGTTCGGGAAAAAATTGTTCTTGTGTCTAGTGGTTCTGGTGTGCAGTGCTCTATAGCATTGTTGTGAGGATAGGAGTTGAAACAGTTTATGTCCGGGATGTGAGGGGTTTGTAAATATTTTCACAGCCCTCTTTTTGACTCATGCAGTATACAGGTCCTCAATGGAAGGCAGGTCGGTAGTAATTGTTTTTTCTGCAGTCCTAACTATTCTCTGAAGTCTGTGTCTGTCTTGTTGGGTTGCAGAACCAAATCAGACAGTTATAGAGGTGCAGATGACAGACTCAATAATTCCTCTGTAGAATTGTATCAGCAGCTCCATGGGCAGTTTGAGCTCTCTGAGTTGGCACAGAAAGAACATTCTTTGTTGTGCTTTTTCTTTTGATGACATTTTTGATGTTAGGTGTCCATTTTAGGTCTTGTGATATGATAGAACCTAGAAATTTGAAGGTCTCTACTGTTGATACTGTGTTGTCTAGTATTGTAAAGAGGTGGTAGTATGGGAGAGTTTCTCCTAAAGTCTACCACCATTTTTATGGTTTTGAGTATGTTCAGTTCCAGATTGTTCTGGTTACACCACGAGGCAAGTTGTACAACCTCTTATCTATATGCAGATTTGTCTCAGATGAGACTAATCATCTGCAAATTTCAGTTTTTTAACTGATGGATCGTTCGAGATGCAGTCTTTGGTATAGAGGGAGAAGAGAAGTGGAGAAAGCACACAGCCTTGGGGAGGGGCTGTGCTAATTGTACAGGTATCAGATGTGATTCTGCCTAGCTTCACCTGCTGCTTCCTGTCTGTTTTAACTTACAAAGCTCTGTTGAAACAGACCAAATATTGTCATTAGACTTGTACAGTGCCCACTTACAGAGTTAGGTATCATTCTAAACCTAATGAATAAATTGTTTGATATGTTTTCTTAATCTTTCTACCTTAGAGGTCAATATGCTCTTGCAGTAATCAACCTGAATATCAAATCTTTGGGACTACGGTCTCTCAAAGAAATAAGTGATGGAGATGTAGCCATTTTGAAAAACAGCCACCTTTGCTATGGCAATACATTGGATTGGAAGAAACTTTTTGTAACACCAAAACAGAAAATAAAAATAAGCAAAAATGGAAATGAAAGTGAATGTGGTAAGTGTATATGGTTCATGTATGAATGGCATATATTTCTGAAAATCAGTTTATATTCTTAAAATTAATTAGATCACACGGTTTATCATATTAGTATATGCATTTATCTATACAGTTGAGCTGTGCAAACATTCTTCCTTCAAGGCCTCTGCTGGCTTTTAGTGCATGCATGCACATGTGCAGAATCTAGGTCTGCCAGCATTTTCATATCATTTTGCTAATGTTATGACAGAGGTTTCTTATATGAATCTACAGACATGCTGGTAAAACTGGGAAAGTACTTATCCTGTGAGGAATTAGCTATATATAAGTGTAAATGGTATAAATGTGGATTTGTATTCTAGCTCCCAAATTGTTGCTATTGCTTTTTCATATATTAGTTAGAAACCTGCACATGGATTAGAGAATAATCAACAATATATGTTGCCATCAAAAAAATAAAAGAATTGAAATGGGAATGGCTGGTCACTTAGCAAGAAGAACTGATGGCAGGTCATAGAATGGGTTCCACTTGAAAAACGTCCACAAAAGAGACCTAAATCAAAATGGAGAGATGACATCAGCAAATATTGTGGACCCAACTGGCAAAGGAAAGTTCAAAAGTGTACTGGTTGGAAACATGCAGAAGAGGCCTTCATCCTGCAGTGGATAGACGATGGCTAAAATGTTGATGATGATGAATATGTGGTCTACAACAGCAGTTGCCAACCAGTAGGCCGTGGCCCACTGGTGGGCTGTGAAAAAAATTGGTGGGCCGCAGAGCACATCCCCAGAGCACCCCCCCAGAGCAATTAATCCAGGCTCCACAGAAACTCAAGGCTGTGCCGCCTACATGGCCCGCGGGAACTCTCCCCATCTACTCGCTCCTTACCTGGCAAACTTGCCTGCTAAATTGCTATTTTTCCAACCATCAGCTGTTCTGCTGTGCTGGGAGATTTAGATTAGCTAGGAAGCAGGAAATTGTTGGATTTCTTGCTTTCTAGCTAGTCTTTAGATCTTCGGCTCTGCTTTTAAGCACAGCCAAACCTCCCTTATGACTGAAGGTTCTATTATTCAGTGCAGACTCACGGTAAGCAAATTTTATGTGACAGACTGAGCTAGCCAATGGCAGATAGATAGATCACTGAATGATTCTGTGAGCAGCTATATCTGCCTGCCTGCTTTGCCTGCTTTTGGGTAAAAATTGCTCTTTTTTATATAAAAAATTCAATATATTGAATTTTTTATTGTGTATTGTGAGTTACTTTTGTGAGTTTGCTTGCAAGCAAATTTTATGTGACAGACTGAGCTAGCCGATGACAGATAGATAGATCTCTGAATGAATCTGTGCTTCTGTGAGCAACTCAATCCTGTTTTGCCTTATTTTGGGTAAAAGTTGTTCTTTTTTTAAATAAAAAATTCAATATTTATATAAATATTTATAATATTTACATACAGGCCAGTCACAAGACGACTAAGCCACACCCACAAATTAAGCCACACCCACAGAACCAGTTAGTGGTCCCTGGGATTTAAAATTATGAGTTTGGTGGTCCCTGAGGTCCAAAAGGTTGGTGACCCCTGGTCTACAATACATGCAATTAAATTTTTTGTTAAGACTAGATTTTTTAAAAAATGAGGATGACTGAGACTTTGAAAAGCAATATAAGTTTCTTGCATGAATTCCAAAACCAGTTAGTTCAAAATGTTTACAGATGTCATATACAGTAGGATACCAGCTTTACCCTAACGAGCCTTCATGGTACATAGTCAAAGTGCAATATTGCTGGCAAACTACCCATAGCCTGAACTTTGATCCTGATGGAGCTCAAGGTTCCATTTTTTTAGGTTCAGTAAAATGAGGAGCCAGTTTGTTGAGGGCAATATGCTGACATTGTAAACCACCCAGAAAGTACTCAAAAGCATAAGTGCAGGGGTGGGGTTCTATCAGTTTGGACTGATTCAGGTGAACCAGATGTTAAAGTTACATCTGGTTCGCCGAACCAGTATTACAACCAACTGGCTGGCCCTGCCCACTCTGCCCTTCCCCTCCCATGAGTCTCCACATGGCCCATTTTCGATGGAGGTAAGTGCAGGGTCTGTGCAGAGGCTCTGGGAGGGGGCAAAATGGGCCTTCCGGAAGTCTGGAAACATGCCTGTTTCCAGCTTCGGAGGGCCTCCAGAGCCCAGGAGAGGTTGTTTTCAACCTTCCAGAGGCCATGGGGATGCCTCTGGACCCTTGAGAGGGCAAAAAACTGTTCTCCCAGAAAAATCAGAAGTCATGAAACTGGCCTGTTTCCGGCTTCCTGTGGGCCTCCAGAGCCTGGGGGAGGATGTTTTCACCCTCCCAGAGGCCCACGGGAGGTCTCCGGACTCTTGGGAGGGTGAAAACAGCCTTCCTCAGGCTCTGGAGGCCCACCAGAAACAGGAAGTTCCAGTAGGCAACACTGACCATGGCCACACCCACCCAGCAACCGGGCAGCGAACCAGTTGCTGGGATTTTTGAATCCCACCTTTGTCAGTGCTATTGCTATGTATTAACCCAGGTATTGATGCAAAGCAAGATGGGTTTTGAACCTGAAATGTATGAATAAAAATTACTATGAAATCTCAGAACATGAAAGAAATAGCATTTCCTCTTTACCTTTTCTCTAGTTTCACAAAGCAGCTATTTGCATTAGGTTTGCTAACCCATGCTTAGTTTTACTTTCTGGTAAATACCAAGTTCATTAGTTTAACTGATTAATTACCTAACTATGGCAGGGAAGTAGAGACTAAAAAGCAATAGCAATTGCAAGAGCACATAGAGTTATAGACTATTCCATAGTACTTTACAGTACTCTCTGAATAGTTTACAGTCAGCATTTTGCCCCTCATTTTATATGTCCTCATTTTTACCAACCTCAGGAGGATGGAAGGCTGAGTCAGCCTTGAATCCATCACTAAAAACCCTGCCTTTATAGCACTGCTCCAAAAGCAATATTTTTAAAGTTAAGCATTTATGAACTCATAATTATGTTTCTACATGTGGCTCACAGAATGAAGCTATGATGCAAGGATGATTGGTCAGTAGTCTTATTGTGATTGTACTGGGAACTGACTGAGTTTTAAGAGGACAGACCAGTTGTAAAAAAAAAAAAAAAGCCTCCGAAGATCAGCTGAGAGGAGGGGAAAAAAAGCCTCAGACAATCAGCTGAGAGGAGAAAGAAGAGAAAAGCGCAGGATCGGCCCTCCCCACCTGCCCCTGCCCTTTTCCCTTCTTTATCCTCTCAGCTGGTTGGCGCTGCAGGCCTCAGCTGATGTGAGGAAAGCTGCGCACATGTGTTAGGTGCACATGTGTTAGGTGCGCGTGCACGCACACGTGATCACTGAACCGGTAGTGGAACAGGTAGGATCCCACTGCTGGGACAGGCACCTTCCACCCTTCTGAGATTGGTAAAATGAGGATCCAGATTTTTAGAGGGAATGTTCAAATAATACTGACATTGTAAACTATCCAGAGAGTGCTGTAAAGCACTGTGGGGTGATATACAAACCTAGATGCTATTGCTATGCTAATGCTATTATAATTGTTTCCTGGATGGGTGATTTTTCTGGATTTTGGCAACTGCTTGGATTTTAACAGTTCAGAAATTGTAATTGCTTAAATAAATTTAAACTATGCCATGCACATTTCTCTTTTCTGGTATAGTGATAAACACTTGGTTCTGTCTTTTAGCTGCCACAGGACAAGTTTGCCATCCCCTCTGCTCAAATATAGGCTGCTGGGGCCCAGGACCCTTCCAGTGCTTTTCTTGCCGT